AAAATAGTTGCTACGAAATTATATACCTATACAAAAAAAAGTGTCTGTTTGTAATATCAAAATAAATCATGCTCACTCGGTTATTTGCACGATACCTATGCCTAAAAACTAGTTCAAACATTTTATGTCTCTCTAATCTTCAAAACGGCCGGACCGATTTTGATAATATTTTACTACTAGGTAGACGTCTATATAAGGAGTAACTTAGGCTATATTTCCTCTCAAGAAAAGCCCTATAAAATTTTTGCCCAGTCAGGGAATCAAACCCAGGCCTCATGGACTGCAGTCGCGTCACACACCACTAATACACCAACTAAGTACAATGTCACGTAATACACCACTAAGGTTTTTAGATTCGCTTTAAAAATATATTTAGGTCACGGGAACTAGCTAATCAGATATTTTAAAAAATACGACGTATAAAAATCTTGTTTAAACCGGCTACTAATACTCACGGAAGCCACTGACTAATTCTGCGCATGGGCCAAAACGTTCTTTCCCGATTTATTTTAGATTTGAAATACATACCTAACCGGTCTTCAAGAAACTGTTGGTTTAAAATATTAGTAAACAATGTTTTAACAATAAATTTGACTTTAGTCGAGGTTAAAAAACACATTTAAATATGACCATGTATTTGATTAGAGTTCCTTCATTGTTTTATATTATCTACAGGCCATATTTAAGGAATTAACAAATAAATATTAATTATATGCGCAATAGCTGTACGACGAGTTAAATGTTTATTCTAAATATAAGCAATTTTTTTATTTCGATGTATTAGGTAAGTTACATTATTGTTTTTCCACATCAAAGAACATTGCCATCGAAATTAGAAATACTTTATTTCTTTTGTGGTCTTTTTTGTCTTTTGTTTACGTTTTTTGAACCAACGACAATAAAGAAGACAGTTCGGTTTTATTTTTTTTAAGTTTGTGACCTCAGAGTCTGTTATTTGTGAACCGATTTTTAAAATTATTATTTTTTTCTAAAGGATTTTTTTTTCATTTGGTTTTGAACAAAAAACATCACTTTTAAGGATGGGAAAATAAGAAATAATACAGTTTATAAAGGTTAAGGTGACGGTCATTGAACTGATTAGACGTACGTCGACGATCTCCGCGATTAATTATTCAAAGTCTGTGCAGAACAAGTATAATCAACTGTATTTCTAACCAAAACTGCTAAACAAAACACAAGCAAAGAAGATCAATAGTAAAAACAGTGTTATGTGGAAAAGTGGTAACCTTCAAACCTTCAAGAAAAGAGCGCACTCCTTCCTAAGAGGCCGGCAACGCGTTTGTGACTCCTGCGTTGCTGAGAGACGTTCATGGGCGGCGATGGTCACTTTCCATCAGGTGGCCTGTCTGCTCGTCTGCCCTCTCTAACATAAAAAAAGTGTACAACAAACATTTTTGAAACAACCTAAAATTGCAAAATCATTGAAGTGAAGTGAGCAACATATCACAAACAAACAACTATCAAGTGACATTAACGAAAGAGTTGCCAACGAGGATTCAGTGTTACCAAACAGAACCTAGGGTTGCCATCCAGAATCTGGGGCTGCCAACTGAAATACAGAGTTGCCATTACACTAAAATTTACCCTAAACTGGAAAAAAATATATGGAAAAGCTAATATCAATACTAGATACGAAACTCAACAATCAAGCTCCATGACGAAAAATGTGATAGTGGCGCTTGATGAAAAGTTGAAATTCATTGCGTAAGAAAATAGTGCCCTGAAAACAAAAATATCTGGACTAGAAATGGAAGTAAAGTTTTTGAAAGATGAAAAAAGGAAAACCAATTTGGTATTTTCTGGTATAGAAAGAATAGGAAAACCCGAATGTGAGTTTGTGGATTGCATCAATGACGTCATAATAGACTTAGGGACGCATTTAAAGAGTAAGGAAATCAGTAAAATATACAGAATTGGGAATAGGTCGACAATAAAAACCGCCCGGTCGTAGTCACTATTACTACGCTATGAAAAAAGCACTTGATATAGCGAAACAAGTCCAAACTTCCGCGGGGAATATACATTAAGAAATAAGTTCTAGAAAAAAGAAAGCACCTGCAGTTACAGTTGAAGAAGAAAAGAAAAAAGGAAACGCAGCATTTATAAAATACGATAAATTTACCAATTTAATATAATAACCCAGAAAAGAGAAGAGCTAGCCAAACTTTTCAAATCAAAAGAAAACTACCACTACCGTTTTCAAAACAAAAATCAAATCAGCAACTGTATTGAAAGAGGAAGATCAGCTTCAATATCAGAAATACCAAAAAAACTGTAAATGGCATCGACAACCGGAACCAAGACATCACAAAATCAACTAAACCAGCTTTTTCTAAAGGCACCCCAATCCGGCCAGTCACCGTGGGGGAAGAGGACTATTACCCTCCAACTAATTTTCGTGTCCGTGTGGTGACGGATTAAGAATACAGAGTGTCACCACCCCTATTCATCCCGTGGGTGTCGTAAGAGGCGACTAAGGGAGAAAACTACGCAGGACAACAACACTGCAGAGAGAAGGAAAACTTGAAACAAACCCTATACCAACCCGTCTGGCCAGCGTGGTATAGTAGGCCAAAGCCTCCTTTCTAAGGGGAGGCCTATGTCCAGCAGTGGACTATTAAAGGTTGTTGATGATGATTGATGATGATGATGAATTTTCATGTGCACATTCCTTGTAACAAACATCACCAAGTGGAAAATACAACACACATTGCAACATACAATCCGTTATCTTTAAGAACCAATGAGAGTCTAACGGAATTAATGTTAGCTCTAGGAAATATAAATTGGTCAAGACTGGGTCTGAGTGAAGTTCGACGCCTAGGGGAGACGCCTATAGAAGATATGGACATATTATAAAGGAGAAACACCAGGCTTATATGGAACAGGATTCTTAATGAAACTTGAATTAAAACCTTGGATTGACGAGTTCATTGGAGTCTCGGAGCGTATTGTAATACATAATACAATGAACATAAAACTACCCCCGATTAACAAAAAGTGATCGTTTGCTCAAGTCTACTCTCCAACTGAACAATCAAGTAGAACAGAAATCGACACCTTTTACTCTATGTTACAAGACGCAATAAACAATCACTCGCACAATAATTTGGTAGTAATGGGAGATTTCAATGCAAGAACAGGGGCAAGAGGAGACTGAGAAAAAATGATATTGGGCCCGTATTGTTCGGGCAAAAGAACAAGGAATGGGGAGAGACTTGTACAACCGGCATACAAAAACAACTTAAAAGTACTAAACACCCTATACAGAAAACGTGAGAACAACAGATAGACATGGATATCTCATGAAGGTCACTACAAAAACGAGATAGATAACATACTAACAAACAAAAGTAAAGATTATCGAGACTGTAGAGTTCTAAACAATATTAATTTTAACAGCAACAACAGGATGATAAGAGCTAAGTTACAAATGAGCACACTCAAGAAAAATAGATCCTTTAAAGTAAAGCAAGCTAAGATCGTAACACTAGAAAGTACCGATTCACTAAAAGAAAAGCTAGAGCAATTCATAGAAAAAACAATAGACTTAGATAGTAGAGATAGTACTCCTGCATAAATTGAAATTTATTTCCTAAACTTAGAAATCTACGTTTAGATTCTAAATTACATTTAGATATTCATGTCGACAACATCATTAGTAAAGCCTTTCAGATGTATGGTTTCGTCATGCGCTCTTGTAAAGACTTCAAAAAGGCCACTACCTACCTTTTCCTATATAACGCATTAGTCCGTTCCCAGTTAGAGTATCATCAACATCACATCAACAGCCTTTACTAGTCCACTGCTGGACATAAGCCCCTCTTTAGAAAGGCGGTTTTGGCCTACTATACCACGCTGACCAAACGAGTTGGTATAGGGTTTGTTTCAAGTTTTCCTTCTCTCTGCAGTGCTGTTGTCCTGCGCAGTTTGTTACCTTAGTCGGCTCTTACGACACCCACGGGATGAACAGGGGTTATGACACTCTGTATTCTTAATCCGTCACCACACGGTTCCATTTAGAGTATGCTGTACCTATTTGGAGTCTCTTTTATAAGAAATATAAGCAGATGATAGAAATGGTACAAACAAAAAATCTTCGTACTACCTATAACAAATGTTGTTATGCTAGGATTCCTAATGTAGGCACATTTCTTTCTCCTGACACATTTTAAGCTCTCAAGGTTGGAGCATAGACGCACTTCACTAATGTTAATGATGCTGTATGGCATACGCAACAACAAGTATAATTGCACGGAATTATGAAACTGGCTATGTGCGCTTACCTCCATTATTCTACATGGAAAAGTGTAGAACTAATTCTGGAGAGCGTGCACCTCTTCGCCGATTATTGACAACGTACAACTCCCATGTTACGAACTTGGATATTTTCGCTTTCACTCACTCTAAATTTATAAAAATTGCTACTGAAATTCTTGGTGAGCAATGATGACATTTTTTCAGTAACTATCTATAGTATATTATAACATATAAATCAATGATTGTGTATAGTGCACGTCCGTTACTACTCCAGCTACTCGTATAAACTCGTTTACAATAGTGTGGGTTATACGTTTTATATTTCTAAGTTCTAAATTACTTGTAAAGACTGCAATGTATAACTGTTTTTTGTGTCAAATAAATAAAATACATAAACAGCAAACATAAATGTATATACATGACACCGGAGTGTTCGTCTTTTTGTTGACAAGTACATATTTTAATAGAACCAATCGTTTATATTTTCAGGACAGTCATGGCCAAGATGAAAAGTTTATACTTATATCTGCTACTTTGGATGGCGCCATTTATTGATACCGGAGGTGTATCACCAAGAAGAGATTTATCATTCCTAGATCTGGCAAAGTACGACGGTTACGAAGCAGAAAAGCATTATGTTACAACCAAAGATGGATATATTTTAGGTCTCTTCAGACTGCCTCTCAAAATCGAATTGCTCAGAAAGCAAAGGGGTAATTATGTTCATGCATGGATTGTACCTCAGCAGTGACGATTGTCTCGTACCTGGACCTGGGAAGGCACATTGCTATGTCTATTCCGACAATTGTTACGATGTGTGGGCACCAAATGTTCGAGGTAACGTGTACAGTCGCAACCACACTCGATTTAATCCAGATACAAATTCAGAATTCTGGGATTTCTCAATTGACGAAATGGCAATGTATGATCTGCCAGCGGTCATCGATTACGTATTAAAAGAAACGAGTGAAACTCAGCTATCATACGTAGCTCACTCACAAGGAGTTGCCTTATTATTGATTCTTTGCTCTAAAGTTCCTGAATACAACGATAAAATTAAAGTTGGGTTCGGGCTATCCGCGACAGCGTGGTTAGACCATGCTCGATTTATTGTTGTACAAATCCAAGGTCTACTAGATCCAATTCTAACATTGTCCGGTAGTTTACTCAATGTAGAAATCCTGCCTCGTAGTGGAGTAATACAATTTTCATTTAAATTATTATGTGGACTCACAAAACTCGCCTATCCACTATGCTCAGATATAATCTTCGTATTTTTAGGATACGACAAGTATCAGATTACCAGTGATGTACTTCCAGTTGTAATAGGTCATTTTTATTCAGGTACATCACTCAAAAATTTTAATAGATGGGGCCAAATAAAAAACAATGGCTTCTCTGAATACGACTATGGGACAAAGAAAAACTTAGACATATATGGTCAACCGAAACCCCCGTTATACAAACTGAGCAAAGTCACCATGAAATGGATAATGATTGGAAGCTTTAACGATTATTTAGGCGACGTAAGAGATGTGCAAAAGCTGGTATCGAATTTGCCAGATGCATCTCTTTGTGTACTTTCAGATAAAACTTTTGGTCATTTAGATTTCATTTATGCTAAAGATATACCAAACTATATCACCCCTGTTGTTTTGTCGTATTTAAAAACAGGTACCTACCAGTGCCCATAAAAAGTGTGCAAAAGTTACCGTTATGAAATTTGTGAGTAATGAACTAGTCTTTTCTTTATATTGTATCAAGCCATTAATTGTATCGTGATAATTAAAAACTAATTTACTCAAGGTACTTAAAATAAAAGTATTATAAACGTAACAGATGCAATTTTTTTTATTAATGTTATGAATGTCATGTGTTCTTTGCTCTAAATTAATGGAATATTTACGCTGTCTGAGATCGTCAAGAAATGATATTTTATAAGACACCTTACGAAGTATTTTTCATTGATAGGAAGTATTTCTAAAATATTTGTGACTACAAGAATTTCTACCTTTTATTTTTGCTATTATAGTATTAGTTAATATTTTTTTTATGATAAAGGGGGGGGGGGTCGTCTACTCGTCTGTAGATGACCCGAGGTATGTCGGGGTACCAGGGACTTCCTTTCTAGGGTATACCTGGTTTCCCGGCTATTAGTACCCGAGACGGCGTGCGGTTTTAGTCGGTTTGAGTCCGACATGCCACCGACAGGTGGTATCCGAGGGGATTTTCCGGGGATCCGAGGGGGGGGAAAAAAAAAAAAAAAAAGGGGTAAAGAAACACAATGAACCTGATGATAAGCGAGTACCACCGCCCTAGGACACCAGTCACACTTTCCACTTGCCAACTTTTGAAGTGGAGTTCACTCTAGCTTTAAAGTTCGTATGAATTTCTTAAACAGGTTCGTTGTAAGGCAAAAACTTTTTTTAAAAAGCGCACAGTGATAGAGTCAGGAGATGGAGGAGTGGAGTGAGTGCGGTGGAAGTTTTGGAGCTTGTGCGGCGAAAACTTTACATACGACAATTACTTAACTGGCCTAAATATCCTGATCTAGTGGCTAGCAGTCCTGACTGCTGCGACAAATATTTACAAGGTACCATAATATATTTAAACACAAGACGTGTGGGTGGACTGTGACTGTGACACTAATCACTGTTGACCGTGACAATTAAATCATCTAAAAAAAACAAATTGAATTTAGAGCGTAACGACCTGAGTGTATTTTTAATTAGAATCATATAGTCTCCAATACATCACCCAATTTAAGAAATGATCATTTTAAGAAGTTCTACAGAACTATTTTATGGCGACCATTGTCGTAAGTGCTGCTGTTTGGCGGTAGCGTAAAGTATGTCAAATTCGTGATTACTTCTTTCTTAACAAATACGTATTCTATTTAAAAAAATAAGACGCAAAATTTACTAACAAGTTCGCAAACGTTTATGTCCGACCAAAATTGTGCCACAAATAACTTGTCTACCAACGCAAACATGTCGGATAAGCGATTTTTTGTTTTGGAACAATTACATACTTCATTTTTGCATATTAATTCCTAACTCCTTTTAAAATACCCCGGTGATATTGTCCGCCAAATTTACGTTTAAATCCCCAGTACGTTACCCAGTTTAGTAAATGATTTACGCATAATTTACTAACCAGTTCGAAAACGCTTATCGTAACGTTTTCAATATGTATAAAAAACAGCACTGTCTGACAAAAGCAGTGATTCTTTTAGTCAGTCGGACAAAAATAAAGTGCCAGGATCCTGCCCGCAACGGTGCGGGCACCACCTTTTGGTACATTCTCTATTTAGAGGCGACGTCCGCGTGTGCCGGACGCGCGAATAGTTTTGGCGGGTGGATTGGAAAACCCGTCCCGTCCACCCGCAGCAGGCGGTGGTCCGAGTGGAGGCTGTCCTCCCGGGCCCTCTCCGCCGCCGCCTTCTGCGAGATGACGTCTTCGCAGAAGGATGACTTCGGTAAAACATCTGTCACTACCGGCCATGGAGCGTATGACGGCCGGTAGCGAGAGATCCCCCCCGATGACTGCAATGAGGACCCGGCGCTGGGCCCCCAACTTGACACAAACCCTATACCAACCCGTCTGGCCAGCGTGGTATACTAGGCCAAAACCTCCTTTCTAAGGAGAGGCCTATATCCAGCAGTGGACTATTAAAGGCTGCTGATGTGTGATGTACAGGTAAATATTGATTTCAGAAATAACAAATCGTTATTTGGCAGTTATCGTTGAGTCTGCATGTTTATTTATTAATTTTATTGTACAACTTTATGCCATTGTGCTCATCAGCGGTCTTAATACCCAGGGCATTCTCTACCAGCCAACCTTTGGGTGGTGTAGAAATCTTTTTATCTATTACAACTGTAAGCTCAGTGCACCTAGCACTGAGGTTACAGCTGTATAGTAGCATATATCTAGTTTCAACTAACATATACATACACACGTATACATACATAAATACATATACTTTATATTCGTACACACTGTACGAATATAAAGTACCTATACATACATAAAGTGTGTGTAAATACGGAGGTGTACTATCGAGTAGGTAATCCCGCCATCTGAAGCAGTTACCTATGTACGTGGTTTTTTAACGTGAAACTGTTTGTGTATATCCTAATTTCAAGTGGGAGCGCACTCCAGAACAGTACTGCTTGCACAAAGAACGGAGTGTTCACGAACTCGGTATTATGGGAGGGACACAGGAGAAGCAAATTATTTTTTGAGCTAAGATTTCTGTCGTGATTAGTAGACAGGAAACGCAAAAAGTCACGCATCGCAGATATTCAAGGTAAGTGGGTGAGAATGGGGAGTTGAGGAAAGAAAAGAGAGAGGTCAGCGCTCGCTGATTACGGCGCAAGCGATTTATCTCTACATTACTTTATTTCTGTAGGCTTTATCATCTCATTTTCAAAGGAAAATTCAAAAATTGTATCATTCTATCGAAGGTCAAATTAGACTAGACAATGATATAAGAAATAATAGGGGTATTTTTTTTTAAATATGGCAAAAACATTAATTTAATTTAAAGATATTTTTTGTATTTTTCAGATGATGATATATTTATTCTAACTTATCTTTGCACAGACGACGCGCCGTCTAAAGCCAAAAAGAGATACAATAGAATCGAATATTTCTTTCGATATCCGAGTATAGGGACCCCTTGAGACGCTCACACAAATGTAACTATCAATCAAACCTATCCCTTAAGTTGGAATCTTATCCGACACTTTCAATATTTACATTTACGTACAGTTATCCACAATATAAAAGAAGTGCCGGAATTTGAACTTTACAAGTTTAGCAAACTTCTCAAAGAAGAAGAATATTAGAAATGACAATTCTACTTACGTATGTACATCTATTCGATAGGGTTGCCAGTCCCAAATTGGTACAATATAATTACATCAAAAAATATGTTTTAAGGTAAACGTAAGAGGCAAACAAGCAGGCATCATCATTCGTTTTGTGGAGGAACAGGCGAGGTGATCATGCCTGGTTCATGTTGGGAATTTGTAAATATGCTAATCGAACCGAACTGAGTGCCGCTAGCCCCGGTGAGTCGTGGCTGACGTCCGCTGATCTCAGTAAGGCGGGATGGCGTGCGGTGCGTGGTGTCTGGCTGATGCGTAGACGAGAGAGAAATGCTCTTCTTACGTGGACCGTAGGTGCAGTGTGCTGGTCCTTGTCGCTTATTATCGAATCAGGCTGGAGCTGTCACTACCTGCAGGTGGTATCCTTTTTGTGGCCGAGGTTGCTGCCTGGCTGAGACTTGATTACTGTTCATCACTGTGGGAGTGTACACGATGGTGCTGCTGATGATCTGAAATGAAGGCAATCACGGGGTCACCACTGTGGATAAACGGATGTCATGTCCCTCCAACACAAAGGGAGGATCCACCAACTAGGCGAGGTGATCATGCGTGGCGGGCCGCTGCCCAACGGTTGATGTTGGGAAGTTGTATATATACTAATCGACGAGAGAATTCTTCATATCGCGATCCTGGATTAGCAATTCTCATTCAGTAGTTACTCCATAGTTCGGTGTGTCTTCGTTAGATAGCGCTGTAGTATGTTTCTATTTCTTTGTATGTGGGAGTCGCCACAGGGTCATCTGACGATATCGCCGCCTAAATTTGGCGGTGGCAATCAAAGTATTATGTATGTATGTGTTTTTCGAGCTGCATGTCTATGTGCGGCCTTCTTTACCATAAAAATAATAATAGTACTTAGCACAAATTACGGTACGAACTTAAATTTTAAAAAGACTGTTAAATTTGTGTGTTGTGTAAGTAGTTCCTTCTTTAAATACTTCATAATCAATAGAACTTCTCCATAACGTTAACCTCTGCTTGTTTAAATCGATCAAACTCAATATATGATCACCTTACAAATTTTATTTTATTTTTTCATATTTTCAGATTCTTAACCCGATTTTTAGAACTTCTTAACACTATAAAGTTTGAAGGTAAAAGAGGGCGCTCCACCCGCGCTTAGTCTTTTTGTAATCTCGGCCAAGATGGCGTACCAGACGCGATGTTACCAACACTATAAGGTGTTTTTATTATATTATTTAAAAGTACAGTTCTAGCAATATATCCAGTTTGAAATTCTTGTCTCATTGCGGTTTCTTTATGTCATGTATGTATTTGTCGGAATCCCGGGATCGAGGTCTCTTCAAAAGAAGCCGAGGCGAGCAAACTAGTAATAAGTTTTAGGTTAAGTTTTGATACATTGTAAATTACTGTTTCCTAGTAAACAGTGATAATTCAAACATTAACGTAACCATCAAACCTATCCATCAATAAATTATTGCTGTCTCGCAGACACATATGTTAGTATAATACAACCTATACAAGTTTCAAACATTACAAGCCTTACATGGGTTACATCCTTAATGTTTAAACAGTTTCAGTTTTAGCATTAGGAAAAGTAAAGGACTCGGTATTGATCCCTCTGGCACGCCAATGGTAATAGGTATTCTAGGCAGTACCGTCTTTACCAAAAGGGCACACTGGGCCTGTAGACGACGCGTAAGTGAGGCGACGCGTTGGGTCCTAAAACATCTAGCACTGGAGGTGTTAAAGCGCTCGACTATCACTTACACAGACTGACTGTAGACCAGCCTGTAATCGTGGCCGGTGCAATATGGTGGAAAAGTCAGGCAATTCAA